CCCTTCACTCCTCCTTCCTTCTCTCATTATCTCTCTCCCCCTCCTTCCTTCTCTCCACCATCTCTCTATCCTTCTCTGTCCTTATGTCTCTCCTTTCTCTTCTGTCTCCTTCCATTCATCTCTCTCCTTTCCTTCTTCTACCTCGTCCTCTCTCCTCATCTCTCCCTCCTTCTCTCTATCCTCCTCTCTCCACTCCATCTCTCCCTCCCTCCATCTCTCTCATTTCTAATTCTCTCCTTCTCTCTCCTTCCATTCTTCTCCCTCTTCCTCTCTCACCACTGTCTCTTTCTCTCTCCTTCCCTCCCTCCTTCTGCCTCTCCTCTCTCCTTCACTCTCACCTTTTCTTTCGTGTCTCTCCCTCCTTCTCTTCGTCTCTCCTTCCTTTTCTCTCTCCTCTCCCATCTGTCCTTCCCTTTCTCTCTTTCCACCTCTCCATCCTCCTCTCTCCTTTTCTCCTCTTCTTCCCTAACCTCCTCCTCTCTCTCCTCCTCTCCTTTCCATCTCTCTCTTCTTTCCTCTGTCTCTCACTCCTTCTCCATCCATATCCTCTCCTCCTCTTCTTTCTACCTCCTCTCCTCTTTCTCTCTCTTTCTGGCTCTGCTTCGCTCTCTCCTTCCCTCATCTATTTCTCTCTACTTTTGTCTCCGTCCTTCTTTCCGTATCTCGCTCCCTCTCTCCATGTCTTTGCCCTCCTCCCTTTCTTTCCCTCATTCCCTATTCTCTCCATCTCCCTCCTCTCTCCTCTGTATCTCTCTCCTTCCCTTCTTCTACCTCCTCCTCTCCAGTCTTCTTTCCATCTCTCCCTCCTCTCCTTTCTCTCCATCTCTCTCTCCTTCTCTTCCATCTGTCCTTCTCTTCCTCTTTTCCATCTCTCTCTCCTTCCTTTTCTCTCTCATTCTCTCCGTCCTTCACTCCCTCCTCTCATTCTCTCTCCTTCCCTCATTTCTTTTGTCTCCTTCTCTCCCATCTCTCTGTCCTTCTCTCTCTTCTCTCCTTCCATTCTTCTACCTCCTCCTCTCCTCTCTCCTACCATCTCTCCCTCCTTCTCTCTCCACTCCATCTCTTTCTCTCTCCTCCTCTCCATCTCTGTCCTTCTCTCTCCACCTCTTTTCTCTCTCCTTTCTTTCCACCTCTCCCTCCTCCTCTCCTCTTTCTCTTTTTCTCCTTTTCTCCTCTTCTTCCCTGCCTCCTTCTCTCTTTCACTCTCTCCCTCCTTCTCTCCTCTTTCTCTCTCTTCTGTCTCTCACTCCATCTCTCCGTCCTTATCCTCTCCTTCCCTTCTTTCTACCTCTTCTCCTCTTCGTCTCTCTTTCTGGCTCTCCTTCCCTCCTTCTCACCGTCTTTCATTCTCTCCCTCCTTTCCTTTCCTCTCTCCTCTCCATCTCTCTCTCTGTCCTCTTTCTTTCCTTCATTCCCTATTCATTCTCTCTCCTCCTCTCCCTCCCTCTTTCCATCTGTCTCCCTCCTTCCCTTCTTCTACCTCTTCCTCTCTCCTTCTGTTTCTTTCTCTCCTCTCTAGTCTTTCCACCTCTCCCTTTTCTCCCCTTCTCGCTGTTTCCTTCTCCTTCTCTCCTTTTCCCACCTTTCCCTCCTCCTTTTCCTGTCTCTCCTTCTCTCCTTCCCTCTCACCGTCTCTCCTTTTCTCTCCTCTCTTCCTTCTTCTCTCCCCTTCTTGCTGTTTCTCTTTATCTCCTCTCTATCCCTCTTCTTCTGTCTCTCTTTCCCTCCCTCCATCTCTCTGTCCTCTTTCTCTCCCGCCTTGTCTCTTTCTCTCTCTCCTCTCTCTTCTTTCTCTCTCCTTCTCGCCATCTCTCTCACCATCTTGCTTTCCTTCTTTGTCCTTATTTCTCTCCTTTCTCCTCTCTCCCTCCTTTTCTTTCTCTTCTCTCTGTCTCCTTCTCTCCCACCATCTATCCCTTTCTCTCCTTCCCTCTGTCCTTCTCTCCCTTTCTCCTTCCCTTTTCTCTCCTTCCTTTCTCCTCTCTCTCCTCTACTTCTCTCCCTCCTTCTCTCCATCTCTCCCACCTTCTCTCTGTCTCTATCTGTCCTTCTCTTCCTCTTTCTCTCCTCCTCTCTCCCTCTCTCGCCTTTTCTCCTCTTCTTCCCTACCTCCTTCTCTCTCTCCTTCCTTTCTTCTCTCTACCTCCTCTCCTCTTTGTCTTTCTGGCTCTCCTTCTCACCATCTTTCTCTCATTCGCTCTCTCCTTTCCTGTCTCTCCTTCCTTTTCTCTCTCCTCTCCATCTCTGTCCTTCTCCCCCTCATTCCCTATTCTCTCCGTCTCTCTCCTCCTCTCTCCTTCCTCCTCTCCTTTCTCTACCTTTCCCTTCTTTTCCTCTCTCTTCCCTCTCACCGTCTCTCCTTTTCTCTCTCCCCTTCTCACTGTATCTCTCTATCTCCTTCTCTCCATCCCTCCCTCCTTCTCTCTATCCTTTCTCCTCGCTCCATCTGTCTCTCCTTTTCTCCGTCCTTCTCTTACTCTCTCTCTCCTTCCATCTGTCTCCCTCCCTCCTTTCTCTCCCTCTCTCCATCGCTCCCTTTCTCTCTCCTTCCTTCTCTCCCTCCTCCTCTCCTCGCCCTCTCTACGTCTCTCTCCTTCCCTCCTTCTCACTGTCTCTCCATCCTTCTCTTACTTTCTCTCCCTATCTTTCTCCTTTCCTTCTCTCTCCCCATCTCTCCTTCCTTCTATCTCTCCCTACTTCTCTCTGTGTCTCTATCTTACCCTCTTTCCAACTTTCCCTCCTCCTCTCCATCTCTCCCACCATCTCTACCCTTTCTCTTTCTCCTCTCTCCTTCCCTTCTTCTCTTTCCCTCCTTCTCGTTCTTTCTACATTTGGGAAGATAAGGAAACGCAAAGCATGTGGCTGCTGCTTGGAGAAGCAACATCCTCTGGGGAAGGACTGGGTTTGGACAAGCCCTGCCCTGAGACAGTGCGGGCACATGGCAGGAGGGGCCCCCTTGTGAGAATGCTGAGACGGCAGGAGGAGCCACGGGTGCCCCGAACCAGCTGTACCTCTGTCAGTGGAAACGCTGAAACCGCGTGATCAGAATTTCAGTTCACGAGCTGGGAGCCGAGGGGTGTGCCCCGGTGGTGGGCTCGCCTGACAGCTGAGTCCAGTAAGGCAGAGGCCGGGTTCAGTGCCACCAGTGACCCACCTGCCAGAGAGAACACGAGGAGTGTAAATCATCACTCTGGGCCTCGTTTTTCTTTACCAAGAAACTCAGAGCTCTGTAAGTTTGCCGAGCAGGTCACAGACAAGCAGGTGCTCCTGGTGACAATTAGAAATGCCTCATTCACCACATACATACCTCATCCCCTCCCAAGGCGGTGTTTTTCCTATTTAACTGTGAGCTTTTTGAAGGAGATTCCTGGTTTGCTATCAATACACAGTGTCCCATGAGCAGTGGATTCAAAAACCCAGGGTTTCCCTTGCCTGTGACCGGGACCCGGGGTCCCGGCAATGAGGAAGGACACGAGGGGGTGGGATGTGCGCGGCTGCACTGAGCGGGGCCGCACCTGGCCCTCTGGGTTACCTGGGTTTGACAGCGTGAGGACATTCACCTGGTATCAGAAACCCGAACTGAATCTTTCAGCGCCAAGTAAGAAATAGCTTCATCTTTATGCAAATAATTTAGAGTGAAATGAATTTCTTTTGAACACTGAGATGAACTCTGTATTCCCCAAACTGCTCCCTGAGCCATTCACGTCTCCTGCGGCGCTAAGGAGCACGCCTCCGTGACGGCATGAGAGCAAGTGAGTAAGAAAGCTGCGGTAGATAAAGCGTAGACAGATTTCCACTGCAGGCCTGAGAACGGTCCCCGCGCTAACGCAGATCGCGAGTGTCCGGATGG